TGCTATAATATTTTAAAAGTAGATTTAAACTTTATGTAAAAATCTCAGTTAAATATTCAATAAAGATAGAGGCATGGTCTCATCATTAATATTAAAAAAAAAAAAAAAGTTAAAGAAGAAAGTTACTTAATATTTATAGAATATGATAAATGTAATTTGAGTAACAGTAGTAGTACAAGCAATTGTCAATGTTGGGTTAAGAAGAATGCAATAGTAGGAGTATTACTAGAAATAAGACAGATGCATAAGTAAAAGATACCAGTCTTGTTTGAAGAACTAAAAGAATACAATAAGTGTCATATAAAAAAAAATGATATAAGTAATAAAAGAGTCATAAGTAGAAAGATAATAGTATATAGTTATAAAATTAGTTTATTAAAAATGCAAGGCCTAAACAGCAGTTTAGAGAGTATACTACTAGAGCAGTTAGAAAAGAATATTATAGACAAGTGTATAAAATACAAGTTTTATACAAATGGGTTATTAGTAAAAGAAGAAAAGAAGTATAAAATAGGTGTAAATTGAATGCAAATTAGTAAAGATAAAAAGAAGATTATAATGAAGGATAAAGTTAGATTAAAAAAATAGTCATTATCAATGAAACCAAAATTAGCAGCAGTATTAATGTTAGTTTTAATTATATCTAGTAATAGTAGAATAATAATTAAATTAGATAGTTTAGTAGCAATTACAAGTTTGAAAAGAAAGAAGTCTATGTATAATATTAGAACATGAACCAAAATTAAAAATTTCAAATTAGTAATAAAGATCAAAGATATATGCAGGTTAAAAAATATCAAACTAGTGTTGATTAAAATTAAAATATATAATGGGTAGTATGAAATGAAAGAGCTGACAAACTTGTGAAAGAAGATATATTGTTAGATGAATGCTTAAACCTGAAACTTGAAAAAAACTGCTGATTTTATATACACTATACTGAAAAGAATTAGTAATAGAAATACCTACTAGAAAGTTTATAAAAATATTAACAAATATAATGAATGGTATTGAATGATAGTGCTCAAAGATGATTAGAGAACTTGAACCAAATACTGAAGTTCAAAGAGATTAGAAACCATTATGAAAAAAAAACAGAAGTTTAACAGAAATTAAATGTAAATCAATTGAGACAAATAAAAAGATAGCATTTAGAATTAAATATATAAGCAATAGTTTATCAGTTCTTGATGTACTAAAAAAGAAAGTATCAGACATATATAAGACAGATAAATGTAAAGAATACTATGAGGAACAAAAGACATCAACACATTTATTTAGATGTGAAGAGTACAGTGAATATTGGAATAATATTGAAGAGTTGATATGTTAGTTGGTATAAAAAAATCTCGATAAAGTAGATAAAAGCAAGATTATAAAATTTGAATTAAACAAGATACTTGTTGGAAAAACTGAAACAAATAAGATTAAATATTATAAGTCATGTATATATGACTTAGTTATATAAAGTATGTTTAAGGAATTATATATAAAGCAAGTATTATGAAAAGGTATAAAATATTCTATGAAACTATATATCAAGATCATAAAAGAAATATTTAAAAAAAAAAATGATGGAGAAGATGTAAAACAATAACCAAATAGGAAGATGAGAATGGAATAACCTCTAAAATGAAGTGATGCAGAACAAAAGAAAATGAAGATAAAAACTATAATTCAAGAAGAATTAAAAGTAGAAGAAATGATAAGAAAAGTATATCAAGTAAGATGAAAGTTGATAAGGATAAGAAGAGACAAGCAGAATGTGTTTAGCTATTCAATAAAGAGGTGGATGAACTAGTACAGAATGGAACAAATCCTTTCTGGTATAGTTCTTTATAGAACTAACAAAATCTCCCAGTTTAAGCATAAACTGATGTAATAAGTTGCATTTGAATGCAGTTTCTGTACTTAGGTGATATTAGGCTTACAATTTCAAAATATGAATTACTAGAAATAGTTAATGTTTCAAATAGTAAAATTTTGTATTTGAGCTCTGGCAAGACTGTCAAAGAAAAAAATAAAATAAAAATACATTCATATTATTATTTTGAAAAAGAATATAATTTATAGTATAATTTGTACAGACAATCTAATAATAAGAACATGTCTAATGCTTTAATTAATGATAAAATCAGAGAGCATATTCCTAATCAAGATAAAATTACTAAGACTAACCTTCAAAAAAGAAAAGACTAAAAAAGTTTTCAGACTTTTTAATAATATTGGTGGTAAAAATATGATAATCAAATATTTCAAATCTAAATCTAGACAATATTGATTATGTAATAGCAAAAATTTTAAAAGGATCATATGATAAAAAATAAATTACTGCGTTACTGTGACAACAGATGTCACACCTCTTCAGGCGTAAATGATAAAGTTCTTGTTTTTTGTTTTTTTCGATAATTTGAGCATATACAAAAATATTCATTAACATAAATTCCGCATATGAAATTTATCTGTATCATTTCGCAGGGCTTATTATTATGCATAACTTATTTGTAAGCACAAAGTGCCACATATTACAGATAAATTTATAACACATCTATTATTTTCTGTTAACATAACAATGAAAGATCAGAATAACATATTCATACGTAAAGACAAACAAAATTACTTAGAAAAGTGGCATATCTTTAGAGGGTGGAAGCACGGGTGTAAGGTTTGTGACGAATGCAATCATCATTCACACCTATATTGCAACACATGCAAAAAAGTAGCAGATGGAATATATAAGCGATGTGAATGCGATAATTTTAAAAAAAGAACCTCGAATAATTAACGTTTAATAAAAATAAATCAGAATTAACGATTTGGTCTTTATACATAATTTTTCATGCATAACTTATTTGTGGGGGCACTCAAGCTCATACCTCATATGGAAATTTTAGAAGTGGAACATGCACAATCGATAATGATCGTCATCTCCACGTAATTGATTTCTCCAAAATTTCTTCTTTCAGACCTAACACTCGCAATTTATAGCCATCTTGGAATATAATGACTATACACGAATATTTTACTCGAGCGTATACCGAATGGAACATAATAAACTTTCTAAACCAATGTAACGAAGAGCCATTCCGGCTAAAAGTAGATTTATACCTAAGAAGTCTTGAAAATATTATTAACTGTGAAAAAGGAAAAAGGAAGGAAAAAGCACAGTTTCTTCTTGATAAATATAAAAGCGTAAGTAAACATATTTTTTGTTGGAAGTATAGATGTGAAGAAGTGGCGTGGCATGGAATCAACTAGCTTCCATGACATTCAAGTCAATTAGTCGAGCCACAAGCCAGCGTTGGGACACAGGTGACCAATTAGCTTGCCTGATGTTTCAAGTCTACAAGCCGAGCCAGCGTTGGACCCATCGACACAGGCAACCTACAAGCTTGGCTGATTGTTCAGATGGGATGGATTAGGATTGAATGAATATATTTATTAGTCGAGAATATTGCTAATTCCTCGAGTCTTCCATTGCCAGGGTACCCAACCCGATTATAAACTCGCAAGAAAGTGGAATGATGAACGCGCAAACAAGCAGATCCATTTTCACCAGCCGACATTCACAAGCGGTGGAACTAACAACATTAATATAAGTGGGATTACTAATGGCGGAACTTTCGTTACAAAGAGGGATCATGAAGAGGTACTGATAAGTATTTTTAGATAGTAATTGAGTTATAAAACTAATTATTTTGTATTTTTATTTTTTAGAATAAAGAAGATCAAGATCAAAAACATGTCAAACGGACAAAACTAGCGCTTCAACTTCGTGGCTACATTCCCCTTTCTCGTTCCTCTTCAGATGTCGTCACACCTCCACCACTACCTTCACGACTAGGTGGCAATGCTCCTATTGGCTATTTCGGAATTCACGCTTTTCCTCCATATGACTCTTTACAAGTTCAATCTAGCAGTCTTGAAGATGACAGTGATTTATCTGTGAATGAGAATCCATCAGTCGAGGTTCAACACCTTATCTCAAAAATGGAAAACGTGAAATATCGTCTTTTTGAATACAGTATTGTCAACCTCTCCGAAAAAAATCTCGTAGACCCAGTAAATAATGTCTTTTCAGATGACGATAAAAAAAGAATGAGGAAATTCTGGGAAGATGTATGCATTATAAGCCATTGGCTTCAGGTTCCAGTTATTAATAAACCCTACATCTTCTTTTAGATGGAACCATCAACTGAAGAAAAGTTGAATACAGTGCGAAAATCGAAATGGGAAAAGAGCATTAAGCCACTGGTTGACAAGTATGCATCTGCCATTGAAATTAAGTCTGCTTTTGATGACGAAATTCAGACACTATCATCAGAAGTTATTTTTGAGAAGCCGTTCGAGGGCAAGTTTGACTTTAGAACACAGTATGATCTATTATGGGTACAGGACATTTATCGACGATTGTAGGTTGTTTTTATTACTTAATATAATGTACTACAGGAATTAATTAGTTAATTTTCGTATTTATGTTAGTGTGCTCTTGTTTGCCTCATGTTTCAATATACTTCGTGATGCGACTATGTCAGAGATAGCCTACAGAGAATCATTTGTTAATCCCATAATTCCCAAGGCATTCGACGATATGAAAGACAAGATTGGGTTTCAAACGTATGTTGAGTGCCTCTAAAAGGAACTAGACCCGTATCATGTATCATTTTGATTTATTGTAGTTGTACCCGATATAATTTTGGTTTATCAAACACTATATTTACTAGTGGAGAGATAGAGAGCACATTGCGTAAAGAACATCGAAATCAGACCAATGACCAAAAACCTCGGATATTGCTTGGTTCAAATTATGATGGGATTCTAAAATTTTACGTGAATGCAAATGAAATAGAGATTGGATTTTTAGAAGTTGTAGGGAATGCGACGATTGTGGATCTTAAAAAATATCGCGAAGATAAGGAGAAATTATTAAAGGGTTTGCAACTACCAAAGATTTGTGTTTTGAAGTCTAAGCAATGAAGTTTACAGAATCCTTTTATCTTTGTAGCGATGCAGTTGTCGATCTTTTATCAACGACAGCACCACTTACGTCGTAATGCTCCAGAAGAACAGCTTAAATGCCTTCAAAGTTTTGGTGTATTAGTGTACCGTACGTAATGTATATGTTGTATTATTACAGATTCATTTGCATATTATTTTTTTTATTATCTACTTTAGAGCGTGAGACAACAATTTACACAATGCATCGTGTTAAAGGAGGTTTGCATGTTGTTGATATCCTCTCCAATTTCACGATTCCGGACAGCAAAAGCCAGTTATATGTACTAGATGAAATAGTTAGAAAAGCTTATTTTTTTAAAGTAGGAGTTCGGTTAATTGATTTGTCAAAATTATTCATTGATCTAACTTTACGTTGGTATTATAGAGCCGGGTTATGGACTATTACTTAAAGATACAAGAAATTTCAAAAAAGGCACAACAATACACTCCATCAAATGAAAATCCGTTAGAAGCATCACCATCGAAAAGCACTAGGTAATTAAGATAATGATTGATAAGTATAATTAGATGTGACACACCAGGCTTCCATCTGATGTTATTCACAGTATGCGATAGGGGATTGACATTCTTTTTTAGAGTATTTCTAATAATTTTTACATTTAATAAAGTAGGCCCAGAGGCCAATTTTACATTAAAACCTATGCTTTATAATATAGATCTGGTATCATTATTTAATACTCTGATAGTTGAACTAGTAAATATTGAGTTGTAATACTAGTTGGTTAATTTTTTCCTATGTATTAATATAAAAAGGCATGTTGTGACTTTACTGAAAAGTTTTTTTAATTGTTTGTATATTTTGCTTTTATTTTTTATATTAATAAAGCTGGTGCTGGCAGTTTGATTTCATATACATAATTAGTTTCTTTGTATGCATATTTGTGAATTTATTTATTTTATTGATTAATATTGATGTATATTAATTCACATATGATCAAGAATTTTTTTTTTGTTCAGGAATTTTTGTTACATGAATTTTTATCTATACATCAAAGAATTGAATATATTCACATTTTATGTAAAATAATAGTAGATTTACAAATTACAATTGCTTTGTTAAGAGAATTGAATTCAAAACTTACAGTCAAGATTATCAAACTTAGAAAAAGGTATGTTAAGATTGAGAATAAGAATATAAAGTTAAAGCAGATTATAGAAGAGAATACAAAATGTAATACTAGAGTTGAGAAGCTAAAGCAAAAGAATGTAGAGCTTAAGACCAGACTTGTTATATTAGAATAAAAAGAAAAAGAAAAAGGTATTTCTATAGAAGATATTTCTCACTCTTCAGTAAAATTTAATGATATTCCAAAACAGATAGTCTACAATGTAGTAATATTCCAGTATCTGGTATATCTGATAATATTTTAAATTCTAATAATACTTATAAGAAGTTTAACACATCTAATTCTAATATATACTAGAATTTAGTAATCCTCACATTTTCTGCAGAAACTATATCATTGGAAGAGAAGAAAGAAAATGAATTTCTGAATTTAAAGTATAAAGAAATGATTAGTAAAAAGATAATTCAGTATATTAAGAGGAAGAAACTTCAAGATTAAGCTCTATCTTTAGTTAATTATATAAAAAAGAAAACAGATAAACTCTGACAAAAATTATTCAATATTTTTTTAAAGCTGAGTTCACAAAATTACTTTATATCAAAAAATATTAAATTAGAACAAATCAAAATTTTTAAGATAGCCCATTCTGAAAAATTTAAGAGTATAGATAATTTTGCAAAGTGTATTATTAATTCATTCAACATTAATGAGATATTACAACATATAGCTCAGCTGTATAATACAGCTATAGATACAAAAGATTGAGCTTCAAAGACTAATTAGAAAGAAATCATATGCTGGTCTTTTTATAGTAGAAATTTTGAATTTCAAGTTAATGGGATGAATAGTAAAAATAAAATTAGTAAGAAAAAAACAAGAACCTTAATTTATAATAAAATTAAAAATCAACTCTCTATTTTTTATAAAAAACAATCACAAGATTTGGGCTTACAACTTCCAAATATATTACAAGATACCTTGTGCAAAAAAACTCAAAGAGCTGTAAAAATTTATAAGTTATTTGAAAATATAGGTCTAGATAAAATTAAACATATTAAGAACTATAATACAAATTCTAAAAACTTACTAATAACCAAATTTAAGAGATTATTAATTATAGTTCAGAGAGCTAAATCTCTAATTTTTTTACTTGAAATTATATTTGAAGTATCTTTTAAAGATAATATAATAAAGGGTATAGTGACTTAGTGAAGTGGATAAGTTGTCAACCCTCCAAGTGGTAGTTGTGAGTTCAAAACCCACAGACAGTGAAAATTTGGATAATCACCTATGTAATATTCGTATTATGGCAACTGTTCCTAATGATTGGGTTAAGATACCTGTAATTATGATCGCATCAGCATGATTGGCAGGTCATGGGGCATCTGTGTAACTGGTTATACAGAGGAATGCAAACTGGCATTGGGTGGTGCAAACCCAAAATAAGTCCTTGTGACCATGTAAATCTGTAGAAATTGGGGAACAAGAAGCCTACTTGGAAAGATCTGAGTAGAGAGTTAACATGGATCTTTAACACTACTACTGTAAAGGCTAGACCTAGGAAACAGATACCAATGTGAAGTACCTGAACAGGCAAAAACCTCTGGGTCAAGAGTACCACCAACCAGGCTGCTAGAAGTCCAACCAAGAAAACTGGAGGAAAAAAATATCAGGTCGACTTGATATATTAATGGGCTGGTTGTAGTCCTACTGGCCTATCTGGATTGGGAGTTTGGAGAAAAAGCAAGGGTATACTAAAAGTACTAGGGATATGCTATGAAGTAAGTGCTAGGGTCTGGGTGAACTCTGCAAGGGCAAGCCCTGTTAATGTTCTGTAAAATGCATAGTAGTTAACAGAAGGGCCTTCGAAGCCTTATAGTTAGATGTCATACTCTGAAAATAATTGTATAACAGCTTGACAGATGTACAGAAGAGAGGCTAAATGTTGGGTTAGATGGCACTTAGGTGTACAGAAACCAGAGCGCTAATTGCCTGGGTGTAGTATAGGAATCAGAGTGTTTAATTAGATAGTCTTTTAGTAGATTATAGATATGGCAGCTAGTATAGAACCCTTGGTCAGACTACTTAAATAGGTAACTAAAAGTTACATGTGTGGCTAGTTGTATGCTCATCCTGTATAAGTAATATATAATATATTTACTAAAAACACAATAAAAACATTAGCTATCATTAACATTAGCCTTTAAACAAAAAAAAAAAAAAAAAAAGATAATATAATTGAAATTTTTAGGATAGCCTGTCTCAAAAAGGCTTTATTAGAAACTGAGATAAATGTATCATTTGCATTATAACTCAAGAAAAATTTATCAAAAGCAGAAGTAAATGTGTTATTCAAATCTCAAACTAAATTAAAAACCTTATCTAAAAAAACAGAATAATCCAACTTATGATCAATTTTATTTTTATAGCAAAATATTGGATTAATATCCTAATTTATATTAAAAAGATAGTAGTAAAAATTTTGATTATTATAGATTTACTGATGAGATATTATGCTATTATGCAAATTAAATTATAATGATGATAAAGATATAGATAATAGATATATAAAGTATAAAGTCTCCAATTCATATAAAATTGGATTTTATTATATTAAATATAAAAAGTAAAAAGTTGAAATTAAGATAATAACATAAAATTTATCTTATATTAACACAATTTGTTAAAGTCTTTAGAGTGTCTCTTTAAAGCATATTTCTTTTGTTAAATATTGTTAATTTAAAAAAACAATAATTATATAAATAACAACATAAATATATAAATAAAGTCTAATAAAATATTAATTTCTGAATATTTGGAATAGAATAATAAATTTACTAAATTACCAAGTATTTTAATTGATAAAATTTATTTCAAGTTATATAAGAGATATAAGAAAAAAACAGATCTTGATCACTAAATAAACTCTAAAACTTCTGAATCTATCCAAATTGTAGATAATGAAAATAAAACAGAGGTATGCATATTACCTATAAACAAAAATGCATCTCTTAATTCTCATCTTCTGATTTCTATTTTACCTGAAGATTTAGAAAAAAAATAAAATTTTGTTATTTATATCATATTAGAGCAATTTAATAATTTATCACTTAAACATAGTATTAAAAATAGTGATTATTATAATTATTTAGGAATATGTCCTTTATACAATAAAGATTATAAAGAAAGTATATAAAAAAATTTAAAAAATTAATGGGGTTCTGGTAATTATTATAGCAAAAAAACATATTGTCTCTATTGTTGTAATAGAACTTTTAGTAGAATCTTCAAAATAAATATGAAAGTATAAAGAAGGCATTATATAGACTATAATAAATAAAAGTTTTATTTTAATCTAATAAAATCTTGATCAATTTATACAATTATATAAAAATATAATTTGGTAAGAGTACAGAACTTTTCTTCTTCTTTATTTAATATTTTTTTCTGCCAAAATGACAATATACAGGTAAAAAAATATATGCTTTAAAGAGGCATCTTTAATAAATTTGATTCAACATTTTACTTTGTTTATTAGAACAACTTTTTTCTCAAAATATCTTTTCAGAATTGGTCACTATCAACATTATAATTATCATCTTTTTTGGGATCATAGTCCAGATCATCTAGATTAATGCTATAAATTAAGATTTTTCAATTTTATTAAAAGTTATACTAGTACAGTTAATTGCCTTTAATTTTAGCAAAATTTTACTTATTATTTCTGTTTTTTCTATTATTATATAAACTAGGTATTCTTTGACTAGGTCTTGGATTGGGCAGTATTAAGAAGACATAATAGATCTCTGAGGGGTTATTGTCATTAGTCATAAAAGTGATGACATTATTATTCATAATAGTGATATTATTACTCATAATGATGGTATTATTATCATTGGTCTTGAAAGTATTACTATTATTGGTCTTGAGGATAATGGTTTTTTTATTATTGCTTATTTTTTATTTCTAAATACAAAAAAATTATAATAAAAAAAATATTTTTATAGTTACAATTAAATAAAATAGTATATTACAAACTTTTTTGATAAAAAATTTGAAAAACTTTTTCTTGTTCATTACTGATCAGGAAAGACAAATAGAAAATCGCAATCATAAAATCATTAAACAGAAACCTAAACTCTAAAAATAAGATACTATCAAGGTCTAAAGCCCTTGTTCCAAGAAAAAGAAAGCTTCCTCGACTAGTAGAGACTCTAGCAACTGAAAAAATCTTTAAAATAAAAAAACTTGACTTAGGAAAAAAGAAAGAAACTAATTACTCTTTTACAAAAAAAGAAATTGAACTAAAACTTAATAATACAACAATAGCTCAAAAAGAGATAACAGTAATAGAAAATGATTTAGTTTCAATAGTAGTGATCCAAAACAAAGAAGACTGGCTAAAGAATATTAACCAAAATGAAAACAACCCATGGGCTCTAGAAAACACATACAATACTATAAAGAAAACAAACAATGAAAAAGCAAACAACAACAAAAACAGTCATATGTTAGATGCAAAATGTGATAACAACAATATCTCTAACAAGCAATTAGCACATAAGGTTACCCAAAGTTATGCATCAATTACTAAACAAGATACAAGCTTATTTGCCAAGTTGAGGCATGGAAAATCAACTTTTGTAGCATTTTCCCCTAGGAATCAAATCAGATCCAAAAACAACAATGCATTAATTGTTGAAATTTTAGGCCTTCATAATTCTCTTAATAAAATTATGGTCTTCTTATATGAAGATATGAGAGAAGACATAGTTGCAGCCAAGCAACATTTTAAAAAAAAGTTGAGGTCTCACCTCGAAATCATATTCTCAAACCAAGATTGACTATTGCATTATGCAACAAACTGTATCAAAATCTTTAAAAAAACATATTATGGATATATTCTCACAGATGCACACAAATCCTTTTTACTAATTAAGGTCAGAAATGTGCCTCTAGGCTTTAAAGAATATATCTCTAACCAAGTTAAAGAAGCCTTTCAAAATTTTGGAAAAATTGTTTCTATTAAACCTTTGCTTATTGAAAATATGCCATACCTGACAGACCAATGGATTGTTATTTTTAACAGCACAGATGATCTAGAACTAGAGAAAAGAATTTCTCACTTTACCTATATGGAAGACAACAAGGTAACTACTAAATAGAAAAAAGCTCCAAAAGTATGTTACTTCTGTGACCAAACTGGTCATATTAAGAGAAATTATATGCAGTTTTAAGAAGTAAAAGAATTAAGAAAACACTTTCAAGAATTCAAAAACAGAAAGGCCCAAACTGAAACTTCTAATAAAAGCTTAGTGGAACATGATATAAACATCATTGAAGAATCCCTGTTAGTGCAAGAAACAGTACAAAGTACTGACATAGAACCAGAAACTTCTCAAAAACAAACAGCTAACTTGGAGGAAGAAACACAAAAAGATAACATGGCTATTAATGAAGAAGCTTTATCTTCTAAAGAAGGAGACTTAGAGGATCTTACAGAAAATATGTTCGTAGAAGAAATCAATACAGATTTGTGAAGTCTCCAAACTAAACACCAAGAAAACACTAAAAACATGCCTTTTATCTTAGTTGTGCATAAAAAAAGAAGACACAAGAAATCAAAATCTTACAAAACTTCTAACAAAGAAAACTAACAAGATGAACTAAGACCAAAAGCACAAAATGGCTTTAAAACCTATTAACTCTTATTATGAACAATACATAAATCAAGATAGTTACCCTAAATGTTAAAGGGTTAAATAATATAGATAAACAACTTAAAACTTTGATACTGTTAAAATCTTATAGACTAAATATTATTCTTTTACAGGAAACCAATATTTTTAATAATGCAACTCAACAATTTCTAAAAAACTAATAGTCTTTCAATTCAATCTGATTAGGCAGAACAGCAATTCTAGCAGGAAACAAAGAGATAAAATTTGAGAACACCAAGATATTATAAGAAGATAGAATAATCTCTACCTGTTACATCTTTAGAAAATTCTCTTTTCATGTAATTAATGTTTATGCTCTACCAAACACCTTGGATAGAACCTTATTTTTTAATAATTGGACAATTGAGAAGAAAGATAACATGATTAACATCTTGACAGGAGATTTGAACACAAATCTAGATTCAGAAATTAACAGAATGAGTCAAGCAAGTGCTTAAAATGATCCTTTAAGATTACTTCTTAAAGGCATCATAAAGGATTTTATAGATTCTGCCTTCTTTATATGCAAAACCCCTTCTACACTTTTCATCAAAAAACACATGACAATTAAATAATAGCTACCTGGCTAGATTATATCTTTATAGATAAAAACTATAGTCACCTAAACTCAGAAACAAAAACAAGATTTGGAAACTCAGATTACCTATTGGTAGAATATGTTCTAAGTTTAAAACAAGAACTTAGACATTCATTTCTCTGAAAATTCGATGTAAACTTCTTTAGAAAAGTGTTCTAAAAAAGAAAATTCTAGAAGAAATCCAAAAAGCTAACACAGCAGCAAACTGGGATACACATAAAATTTATATCAAATCTATTATAAAAGCTTTTAAAAAGTCTAAGGCACCAGAAGACAAAATAGAAAACTAAACAAAAAAGTTAGTCAAACAAAAGAAGCTCTAGCTAAAAACTCCAGCCAGACACATTTTTTCACTATATTAGATACACTTGATTCACAAATCCAGGCAAAACTAACAGAATTAGCAAATAGATGGCAATGATGATCAAAAGCAAACTAGATAAAACCAGGAGAAAAATCTACCAAATACTTTTATACTTGTTTTAAAGCCAGAAACTCATATTCAGCACTAACAGAAATACAAATACTATCTACTCAAGAACAACATAATGAAAAAGAAGTACTTAACTATATCAAAAAGCAGTATACAAAAATATATAGTAAAGAGAAAATTGATAAAACAATAGCAGAACAAATAACCGAAAATCTTTTCTAGACCTCTTCTCAAATGAATAACAAGCTAGTAGAGTATATATCCCAAAAAGAAATCTCAAAGGTCATCAAAAAACTACCCAACAACAAATCTCAAAGATTGAATGGCCTTACTTATGAGTTTTACAAACTTACTGAAAAACATATTACCCCAGTTCTAGAACAAATTTTTAACCAGGTTCTAGAATCAGGAATAATGCCATCCTCATGGTGCAGAAACCTAATTATATTAATTCCAAAGAAATTCAAAGAACTTCACAATATAAACAATTGGAGACCCATATCACTGGTTAACAGTGATGCAAAAATTTTTATGAAAATTATTGCTAACAGATTAAACTCAATATGTAGTGAAATAGTACCTTCATATCAACAAGGTTTTATTGCAAACAGACTAATTACAGACTCAGCATTGAATATATTTACAATTCTAAGAAATCAGAATGATGAGTCCAAAGAACATTAAATGCTTTTTGTAGATCAACAAAAAGCATTCAACAGGATAAATCATAATTTCTTACAAATAGTTCTTAAGAACATGAACTTTAACGAAAAATTCAGAAACTTAGTAAAAAACCTATTTAATCAACAAGAAGCCCACATTGTGGACTCTGGACATATCTCAAATTCTTTCAGAGTAGAAAGAGGAGTTAGACAGGATGATCTTCTCTTACCTCTACTCTACATATTTGCATCTGAACCATTGTTAAACATGCTAGATAACAAAATAATAGGAATCAAAATTGGTAATCAGTCTTTTAAATGTGCAGTATATGTAAATAATCTTACAATTGAAGTCAGCTCATACTCAGATTGGACAACAGTTTTGGACTTGTTTAGCAAATATGAAAAAGCATCTAATGCAAGAATTAACAAACTTAAAACAAACCTAATGCCTCTGACAAATGCAGCTAAAAGTATAGAACTTCCAGAAGAAGCCTGCTTTAAAAAACTCGAAAAACAAGCTGACATTATGGTACTAGGTTATAACATTACAACTAATGATATACCAAAAAAACCTTATGACAAGAGACTATAAACAAGCTTAAGCTAAGTTTAGAAAGGCTTATATACAGAAATCTGTTGCTTAAAGAAAAAATTATACTCACAAATTTCCTACTCCTGTCAAAGATATGGTATGTGGTATACCTAACTCTACTGAATAAAAAACAGATGGCAGAAATCAACAGACTTATCATATTTTGGATTAAAGGTAACTCTAAAATGTTACCAAAATATTTCACTTTTTAGCAATCATATGAACAAGATGGTCTACAAGCACCAATAGTTGGCAACCTACTGGAAGCTAGATTATTATCAGTTTGAACCAAACTAATCTCAAGCAATCTTCTATGAACGAAAGTAGAAAGAAATAGAATCTCTCTTCTACTTGCTCAGAAAAGAGATATCTCAATACAAAAGATACTTTTTATACAACCTATCAGATTAAAAGCTTGGCCTACAGAATGGAAACCCTATCTTCTGACCTGGAAAAAAATAAATGGAAAAATACTATCAGAATCTAACTGGCTCTGAAGCCTAACAGAGCTGGAAATAGATTATAAAAAAGCTACTGAAATGTCAGTTAAATCCACAGTAGAACTTTTAAGAAAACTTAGCAATAAAACAGAAAACCAAGTAGAATCTACAACACATCTCCAAGACCAAAACTGGATCCTTTAGAAGGCAATATTAAATAAAAAGAAAGACATACTCTGGCAATTATTTTACAAAGCTCTATCATTAGGATATAGACTTCAACACTTTGTGCCAACAGATTCAGGAGAATGCTCATGATGTTCAGAACAGATACAAACATTAGAACACTTTGCTACAGAATGCAGAATTAGCAAACTGATTTGGACAGAAGCATACAAGTTCCTAAAAACAAATCAAATAGAAACTATCTCTGATACAATAGAAAAAATATTCTTAAAAAACATTATAGAAAAAACAAAGACATATAGAACTATTCTATAGCTATATACATATGCCATATATGAAAACTGATGTTGTTATGCAGCTTACAAATAGGACAATATATGTTACTCAGACTTAGCACTTTCTATGATTATAAAAAATAGAATTTCTAAAGAGATTATATTGATTCATGACAAATGCTTCACAAAACCTATTTATAAAAAAATATATAAATATCTAGTTTAGAATTATTTTAATATATAATTAATATTGCTATAAGTAGCACTTAATAAAAAAGAGTGCCACACGTGCTCTACGATGCTTGTCATCAGGGATAGTTAAAAAAAAAAAAAAAAATAGTATATTACTTTAAAAAATAATTATGGTTAAGTTAAAAAATAATTATAGTTAGGTTAATAAATAATTATAGTTAGGTTAAAAAATAATTATGAATAAGCAAAAATATTATTATAATTTATCTACAAGAAACAAAAAAAATTGCTTATTTTATATTTACATTTGTTAGATCTAGAGAACCTGTCAGAAAAAAAATACAAGCTTAATAATTATATTACTCTAACACAATGCCAAATCACACTTAATAAAGAATTCTGTTTCAGTTATAAGTTCCAAATACTAAATCTATTTTGCTATTTTTTTAATAAAATTAAATTCTATTAGATTCGATAATCACTTCTGCAAAATGAAAAACCCAATGATCTTAATAATCTGAAAAATTTTAAGTTTTTGCAATATATGAATTTTGATAAAACTATTGATAAAGAATGTTATATACATTCTTCTTATAACTCTTTTAAGACTTTATTTATGCTTTTTCTTATTAGGAGTTATATATAATAAGAAAAAACTTTATAACATTTGTTATATATAAATTAAAAATTAACTATAAGAAATTAAAATAACACTACATAAAATTTAATGCAGGCTATTGATTATTAAAGCCAGTTAAAGATTTGAACTGAATATCAAGTAACATAAATGTTTCTATTTTAGTTTGTCATATTATTATATGACTTAATAGTCTTATAGGTTCACTTTTATTTTGGCCTAGATCATAATACATACATATTTTATTTTTTTTAGCATAGATTAATAGCAAAATAAGTTACAAACAGCTGTTATTTTTGAATAGTTATTAACATGGTTGTGCTAAATTAATGTATATTTATGTTTGCAGATATTTGTACAATATTTACACTTTTGCTAGATGTTTGATCAACATATTTTGATTATATTCTATAAATAATAAAGTTATTCTAAATTTGTAGATCTACCTTAAATATAGTATATAAAATAATTACTGTACTCTGTATAGCCAAATATGTCTCAACAAGTTATTAATATAATTCCAAATATAGAAAATGTATTATTATATATTAGGTTAATTTGTCATATTCAATAATTGTATACTGAATTTAGTAATACAATTGTTTATTAATTAAATGATTACAATAACAAATAAAGATTTAGTTGATTTATGTTGAATTATTATAATGTCAAATCATTTATATTGTATACTGCTTTGTGTCAAATTCTTATATACTAATAATAATAAGTTATGATTTATAATAAAAAGATTAACTACAAAGTTCTGTTTTGAATTTACTTATTTTTCTCAAATTTTTATAAA